TTTTTTTTTTTTTTTTTTTTTTTGAGAGAGAGCAAGAGAAAGCGCGAGAGTCCAGGTGAGGGAAAGGGGCAGGAGAGAGAGAATCTTAGGCTCCGTGCAGAGCTGGGTCTCACAACTGTGAGATCATGACCTGAGCTGAAATTGAGTTGGAGGCTGACCACCCAGGTGCCCCTCAAACTGCCTCTTATTAAATAGTATAGATTTGTTGAGTACCTGAATATGTACAGCACTTTTAGAACTCAAGGGTTGGAAAATAGTATAGAACAAATCTCTTTGTAATAGGAATTTTTATCTTATAACAATTGAAGTGACTTAAACATGGGAAAAATCTGTGGGTAACATTATACGGGACAGTATATGTGTACAGTTATACATAGGTATATATAATAATCATACAAGTATTTATTCACTGTCTAAAATGTACAAGGCAACATTCCAGGCTCTGGAAATACCTGAAAGTATGAGAGATGAGATCTGTGTCCTTGAGTTTAGAACTGGTGGGAAGACAAATACACTTCCCCAGAGATTATTTATAACGTAAGGCAATATGTAATTGTTATTGGCTTCAGTAGAGAGAAAGAAAGATCAATGTGAGGTGGAAATTTGGAAAAGGGCAGGGGTATATTGAAATGAAAAGGAAATATTACAGTTAAGGAATAGTGTGCTGGAGACACTAAAAATGGGGAGCCATAATTTGCAGAAGGTCAGGGTAGAACTTAGATTGATAGTAGTAGAGATGGTAGTAGGATGCACATTGAGGAGTTGTGGAAGATAAAATAATGTTAATTAGTTAGGACTGGCTTATATCACTCACTTCGGGGGAGTGAGTAGGCAAGAAGAGAAAATGGATCCTCAACACTATATTATACAAGACTTCTTCAGGGATCCAAATGAAACCTTGAAGTTTGTTGCTTCTACTTTAGGAAGACGTGTAGTACGTCAAAATCAATGGTTCATCAAAAGCACATAACTAGGGCACCTGGGTGTCTCAGTTGGTTAAGCATCTGACTCTTGATTTCAGTTCAGGTCATGATCTCACAGTTCATGGGCTCGAGCCCCACATCAGGCTCTCTGCTGATGGTGCAGAACCTGCTTGGGATTCTCTCTCTCTTCTCTCTGCCCCTCCCCCTGCTTGTGCTCTCTCTCTCTCTCTCTTTCTCAAAATAAATAAATAAATGTTTAAAAAGCACATAACTAAAACAATGTGTTATGTAGACAAACACCACAGTAACTTCTTCAAAGGTAGTCTAAAATGAATATAGTGGAGAATAATTTTTAAAACTTTAATAAGAGTTTTTATTTTCCATAATTTCAGTTTTCTGTCAGACGAAAATGGAAATAACCTTCTATTATAATGTCTTTAAAACGAGAATAAATCAATATTTTCTGCAACTTTACAATGTTTATGTGGAAGAGCATCAAGAGATTGGGAGATAGGCTGCATGTGAACCCCCAGAAATAATTGTCTCATTTTCCTAACAGATGAGATAGTTTATTCCAGTGGTTCCCATATGTAAATAAGCAGAATCCTAGAGCTATGAAAATCACAGATTTCTGAGTCCTGTGCCCGCCACTAATTTAAGATGTAAAAAATCTGGTTTGAAAGACCCTCCATGTTCAAGCTCTTCCTGCTCTTCAAATTCAAGTCATGCCACATTCTCCTTTGCTCACCATGACCTAGCTATACAGCTTTGTGTTGTTTCTCAAACATGCCAAGCTCTAACACACCTTAGAATTTCTGCATAAGTTTTGTTTTCTATCTTGACTGCTTTTCCCCTCCCATCTTTGCCTCTGGTTCCTTCCCAACATTCAGGCTTCTACTGAAATACCATTCCCTCAAACACATATCCCCTCAAAATGGCACCTTCCTTATTTTCTACCTTAGCCCCTGTTTGTCTCCATAATACTAATAACGTATTTTATTTATTAAATGCTTCCTGCACTAGAATATAAGTCCAGGAGGTCAGGAACATATCTGTCTGGTTCACTAAGACAATGCCTGGTACACAGTAGGCGCTAAATAAATACTTGCTGAATGAATGGAGGATGCTGGGGAGCCAACAGAAAAGTGGCAAATGAATTTCAATGTAGCAAGCCAGGAAGCAGTTAACAGAGCAAATATAAAATAAATGTACAAAATTATGAAAATATGTAATAATCTATGTTGAGTTTTACATATTCATGAATGAAAGTTCTGTAGTACCTTAGCACAGTAAGAATATTTGGAATATTACTAACTTTAATGGTTTTGATATCGGTCATTCTGGCTCTAAATTCTGGCTTTGCCACTTATTAGTGCGGTTATTTTCAACAAGTTATTTAACTTCTCTTAAAATTTGTTTCCTCTGTAAAATAGGAACAATGATAGCATCAAAGCAATATGAGATTTAAATGAAGTATGTAAAGGCACTAGTCTAGTGCCTGGCACCGCAACGACTCTCAATAAAGGTTAACTAATCATGTACTCCACAGAGAGGGCTTTCTCTTAAGGTGCTTAACATCTCTGGAGCGCGAGATCTCATATACCTACTCTTTTTGACACTTTTACTCTTTTTCTAATAGTAAACTATTGGCAGTTTCTGATTCATCATATTACCCACCATTTTACTTTTTTATGTCACTTCCTTTACTAAAAGCTAGCCTTTCATGAAAACCTATTCATTCTTGCAGTTTTCCCTTTAAACCCCAAGCTTGCCGTGTCTTTCTTGGTAAATGCGCCAACACCATCCCCCAGAATTTATTACACTGAATTGCATGCTAATATCTGGACTTTGGGCATACTTTTAAAAAATGGTTTTTTTTTTTAATGTTTATTTTTGAGAGCGACAGAGAGAGCATGAGCAGGAGGGGGAGGGGTAGAGAGAGACACACACACACAGAATCTGAAGCAGACTCCAGGCTCTGAGATGTCAACACAGAGCCTGACGGGGAGGAGGAGGGAGGGAGGCTCGAACCCACAAACCGCGAGATCATGACCTGAGCCGAACTAGGAGGCTCAACCAACTGAGCCACCCAGGCACCCCTGGGCATACTTTTAATGTTGCATTTACTGTAATTGTAATGACTGTGTTTTCCTGGTGTCTCGCCTCTTTCAATAGACTGAGCAATCTGTAGTATTAACTCCAGCATCCATCCAGTCCTTTAATTCACATACAATAGACGCAGACTGGATGATGAAGCAGGACATCGCGACTTGAACTCCTTTATCTGGCGGTGACGTGACCGTGGGTGACGGCTCCGAATCTCCTCCGTCAGTAAAATTGGGACGATAACTTGTACGTAGCTGTTAAGGAGAGTCCAAGAGACACAATAAGGACCCCTAGCATGGTGCCAACGCATCGTAGAAGTCCAGGAAGGAAATACTTCGGCCAGCGTTGGCTGGGTAGGTTGGACCACAAGCCAATGAAGAAGGAGAGTCCCACTGCGCAGGTGCATGCAGGAGTGGGTGGGGTGCTGGCTCTTCATACTGCAAGAGCAGTTCCGGGGGCCAGCTAGACGCTGGGGCAGCGGGCGGTCGCGGGGCTGACGTCATTGCCGTGCGCTGCCACGTCTGCTCAGCTCCACGGTAATGGAGGCTGAGGTTGAGTGCTGACGGGGCCGGGCGCTTCCTTTAGCTTTAGCTCTGGCTCTGACTCTGGCACTGACCTGGGGCTGGGGCGGGGGCTGGCAGCCCGAAGCCTGGACACCTTTTCTCAACTTTCCGGGCGGGGACGGCCTGCGGACAAGCAGCTCGTTTGGAGCTCTTCAACGCGGGGAGGGAATTCTCTTGCCTGGGGTCCAGCCTGTAAAGCCGCAGCCTCCTCCCAGGGATCCCGCCCCACCGGCTGGGCCTCCTCCATGCGTGAGTATTCCCGCATGTACAGTATGCGCTGTCCGACTGCCCGGCGTGCTTCGGTCCTCTGGGTTGCGCCGCGGGAACCTCTTTGTCGTTTGTCCCCTCTTAGGGGCCAGTCTGTTGAAGTTTGTGGTCTCTTGCCATTTGCCTTCCTTCACCTCATCCCCTCGCCTATTCTATCCCAGTTTTTTGCTTCACACTTTTCTTTCCCTCGTTAACTGAGCAAGGACCAGCAGTCCCTACATCTAGCGGTTTGAATGTTTTGTCTTACCTGGGGTTTCTTAGTCTACCGCCGAAGGCTGTTAGGAATAAGGAATATCGGATCAATCTGCAGTAACGTTTGAAAACAAAGGTTTTTTCCAGGATGTCGTTTTTAAGTTGTATTATTTAGGAAGTAGATTTTGGTGTACGTATTGGCAGAGCCATGTTTTTGCCGTAAATTGATCAAGATACAGTTTCTTTTCGATTGGGGGGGGGCGGTCTCTATCTGTTATTTGCCTTTTAATCCTGCAGTTTCAGTAATTTTTAAATGATTTCACACCAGTATAGTGGCCATCCACTATAGCTCTTTCTAATATTTACACTCTAACATATGGAGTTACAACTTGAACAATTCTTTTAAAGACTTAAAAGGCCAACTGGTGTACTTTCATCCATCTTTGTCGGTCCTGACAATCACCTCTGTAGGACAAGGAACACTTTTGAAGAAACAAACTCAGAGGTAAAGTGACTCAGTTACAGTCAGATAATAATGTGGCACATCTGATCTCAGAACCCAGATCCCTTGATAACAAAGCACAACATTTTGGACAGTGGTGATTCTCCTGTATTTCAGGTAGTTCACTGTGAAATATCTGTAATATTGAATTGGAAATGTGTTTGTTAGGTGTTTCTTGTTAACTTCTACCTGATTGTAATATTTTTCATATGACACAAGTCAGCTGACAAAAGACACAAATTGTGACTTACCTAATGCTGACCAGAGCTTAGATCACAACTTAGGCTTCTGACCCATTAGAGTTTGCGTAGTCCTTTCATCAAAGTAAAGTAGGTAATAGACCCTGGGGGAGCATTTATTTGAAAATCTAGTTTTACAAGGCTTACTCATTCAGTTTTTCTGGTTGTTTTGTTACCTTGACTAGTTTAAAAATAGTAAACTGATGTTTAAATGTCTTTTCTTTTGTTCAGAGTTGAAACAGGTTGACAGCCATTAACCTGGATTGCAGCTACAGGTGGCACTGGAAGCAGATTGGTTCCCGGACATGCCCGGTGGAAGGAGGGGCCCTAGTCGGCAGCAGCTAAGCCGTACAGCTTTACCTTCTTTACAGACTTTGGTTGGTGGGGGCTGTGGCAATGGAACAGGCCTGAGGAACAGGTAAAGAAGAAATAAGACTATGCATAATTTGTAATATCCTATGATCAGTATGACAGCAGTCATCATGCTATTATGATAATTTGCTTATCAAGATTATTTGTAGCAATCCTGCCCTTGAAGATTGAAAGCTCAGTATTTCAGAGTACTTTGGAGTGGAAAGTTGTGATATGGGGCCCACAAAGTGAAAGTAGTCCTGTTCTTACAGCTGATAATTCAAATTCTAGTCATCACCTTTTTTAGCCATTAAAAGAAGGGAGAAGTGAATTTAAAGTATAAGACAAATGTGGTTGTTTAACTACTTACTAACATTCTTTTTTTGGACAGGGGAGGACAAATTAAAACTGACAGTTAATGTGAAATTCTAAAACTGTAAGTCATATTCTATCAAGGATCTTACAAATTATTTTCTTCAAAAAATTGTTTGAAACGAATAAACTATCAGTTGTAACCCAAACATTGTAAGACTTATCTCATGTTGTATGAGAGTAAAGAATTTGGCCTTTTTAATGGAAATTTATCTTTGTTCCTAATTTTCAGAAGTTAGGATGGATTATTTCTACTCCTATCCAGGGTAACTCACTTCATGAGGAGTTTCAGTCATATAGCAGTGGAAAGAGATGGCTTTTACTTTATCAAGTGTTTGATCAAGATAACTTTTGTCACGTAATTTCTGCTTCCTTTCTAAATAGAGTTTTCTCTTGCTTGGATTCTAGTTTTCAGTATTACTAGCAATCTGGACTCTTGTTGCCTTTTCAGCCTTCCTCATGTTTTTTGTGCACTTCTCTCTTCCTGGCACTTTTTATGGCTTGAAAAGTCACTAAAACTATTATTGAATTATGTTGTGACACTTTTACCTACAGAGGTTATTTTGGAAGGTGGTTCTGTATTTGTTTCTTGATGGGAAAGAAGCAGCCTAGAATAGGTTATTACATACCACCTAGAAAGGATTATAAGAAATATGGATAATAGCAGTGGTAGGTGGCCTAGAAAATAGTTTTAGGAAGAATATGTACAAAGTAAGACAGAATCCAGACTAGAGAACTCACTTCTGGAGTGTCTGTAGAGTACTAATAGATAGTTGCTTAAGTGTGATATAATTTTGGATGATATATTTGATTCTGCAAGATACAGGTCAGCTGGAGAAGAGAACATTTGCCTGTATTTGGTAGGTGTTTGTGGCCTGATTGGTGAAGTTAACTTGAGAATGTCAAAGAGCTAGTTGAGTGACACAATCAAGATTGAAATCCAGGGGCGCTTGGGTAGCTCAGTTGGTTAAGCATTAGACTTCAGCTCAGATCATGATCCCATGGTCTCATGGTTCATGAGTTCGAGCCCCACATCAGGCTCTGCAATAGCGCAGAGCCCTACTGTGTCTCCATCCCTCTCTCTGTCTGCCCCTGCCCTACTTGTGCACGTGCGCTTTCTCTCTCTCTCTCTCTCTCTCTCTCAAAAATGAACGTTAAAAAAAAGTAAAGGTTGAATTCTGTAGTTCCCTGTCCTCCTTTTTTCTTATGGGGAGCAGGAATTTGTTCATAGGAAAAGTGCTTCAATGATTGCCTTCTAAAGAAGAAGAATATGCTGTGAATTTCTGAGTTTCCTGGAGAGCTTTTAGTTGAAGGAGAATCTTATTTGAGAAAGACTAAGAGTGATTTTTTTCTTTGTTTTATCCTTGCTTATACTTTGTTATGTCCAAATGATCACTGCTTTCTCCATCCCTTCTAATTCTTCTTTATTCCTTGGAATCTTTCTTGCTGTATCCATATGCTTAGCTAAAACCTTGGTAAAAACCTTGGGTGTTAAGTCTCTAATGAGCCTTCCTGATAGACAGCATTTCACATGTGTTGTCACAGGTAGTTGCTCAAGGATTTAAGTGGGTCCTAAATGACTCCACTGAAAAGGACTCTTGGAAGTTTGCACCTGGTTTCCTCCAAACTTTACCCCATGTATCTATTCCCTCTGCTGATTTTGATTTGTATCCTTTTGTTGTAATAAATCTTAGCTGTGAACATAACTATATGCCAAGCCCTTTGAATTTTCCTAGTGAACCTCAAGCCTGGGCATGATTTAGGGACCTGTAGCATAATTTGAAAGAGAATATTCTATGTTAACATTGAAAATAATTCTTTGAAGAGAATCTATTCTAACTCTTGTATTACAGGTGAAGAAACCGAGGCTCAAGAATATAAAGTTACTTTCTCAAAGACTACAGCTGGTCTGTTTAGACTAGGACTACCCACATTGTATCTCAGACATTTGTGTTATTTTGCTTTTTTCGCATCTATTTTTATATCCTGTTAGAAAAATAATACTTTTATTATTATTTAATAATACTATTTATAATACTATTATTTAATAATATTATTTTATTACTCTGACTAATTTTTTGAGATGTATAGACAAAGTCTGTTTATTTTAGCTGCCTTTTTTTAAGAACTTTGATCTTACCTCCTCTTAAGTTTTCAAATTAGAATAAAACTCTTTTTCCCCTCAGATGTTCTACATCACTTTATTTGACCTTTGTCTCTTTGTTTTTTGAAGTTTAATAGCCAAGGCTGTATAGAATATCACAAGTGTAGATCTTCTGCACTTTGTTTTGAATATTTCTTGAAGCCCAGCATTTTATTGAATTTGTTAACTGCAGAAGCACATTTGTCTTCTTTACTTGGGAAAAACTGTCAGAACCTTTTTAACCTTTAAATAATAGCAAATAATTTAGCATGCTTTCTCCTTTCATGTATTTTTGATTGAAGAAGAATAAGAATTTTCAGCATGTTCTAGAGTAGAGGCTCTTAACCTCGTAACTTCTCATCAGAATTTATTTCCTTATCTCATTGATTATTAACTGGGGAGAGGGAATGGCTTGGCTGTTGGCATTAATCCCCTTCATTGAAGTCCACCAACTTGTACAACTGCACACCTTTCACATTTTATTCTGTGTGAGTGCACCTCTTGGAATTGTGCGGTGGCGCATGTCCCATAACACACTGGAGGGCTATGGTATGATAATTATGGGTTTATGATTGAGCAGGTAAGGTTATGAGACCTACTGGTAATTCACAACCTACTCATTGGTAAGCTTGTTCTATTGGAGTATGCTCTGGGAATGAGAGGAAGAAACTTTTACAGTTTTTACCTACCCTCCCCCCATTCCTGTTCTTCCCTTCTAGCTTTTCTGAGATTCTGCCATGGTATTCTTAACTGTTGAGAATGAGCAGAGTTCATATTCCCATGAGTCACTTAAAGTACTGTAAATGTCACATACTAATGCTACAATTCTATATTTGGGAATCTTAGAGTAGAACGGCAATGCTGATATCGTTCCCTCTCTAGAATATTCTTTGGAAATATCTGAACCGAGTCTCTTTTCCTTGGTGTGTAAACAAAAGTAGACCTTAAATCTCTGTAACTATTCCCAGGCATATAAACAATTGAAAAGTTTATTCCTTACCCCCCCCCCTCCTCGGCCCCATCTTATCATTTTAGATAGCCCAGCTATTTCTGACCTATAAAAAATCTGGGAGGAAAGAACAGCAAGAAGATGGGGATTAAAATCTCCATATTTTAATTTGTGTTTTAAAAGATACCTCTTTTGTGACTATATATTAGTCTGCTGTCTTCTCAACATAAAGGTATATATGTGCAGTGAACTAGGAAAAGTACAGTCTCTGTTCTTAAGATTATGATTTAATAGACAAAGCATAGATGTATACAAAAATAACGTAACAGTAATGGAAATTTCAATAATAAAGGCATAATTTAGGTATAATGGTGGCACAGAGGTGAGGTGAATTAGTTTTGACTGAGTGACTCATAGTAAGCTGCATGGAGGATATGCTTGATCATTTAAAGAAAGTCCTGAAGGGGGAGCCTGGGTAGCTCAGTCGGTTGACCTCTGACTTCAGCTTAGGTCATGATCTCGCAGTTGACGAGTTCGAGCCCCGTGTCATGATCTCATGGTTTGTGGGTTTTAGCCCCATGTCAGGCTCTGTGTTGACAGCTCAGAGCCTGGAGCCTGCTTCAGATTCTGTGTCTCCCTCTCTGCCCCTCCCCTGCTCATGCTTTGTCTCTCTCCGTCTCAAAAATAAATAAACATTTAAAAAAATTTAAAAAAAAAGTCTTGAAGCATTTTGTCAGTAAATGTGTAAGTGAGAGGTTAAGGAAGGTGGTTTTGAATGGTTTTGCTGGTGAAAGGAATAGCATGTACAAAAGAATAGCATGTATGTTCACAGACAGCAAATAGCATGGGTATTCTATAGGTTGCATATGGAGGCGTGATAAGAGATGAGGCTAATCTGTTAAGTAGAGAGCCTCATAGGACATACTGAAAATTTCTGGATATTATCCTGTTGGCAGTAGAGAGCCATTAAAGAGTTTTAGACAAGACAGTAACACTATCAATTTCACTTTAGAAAGATCTCTGAAGGCAGGTTGGAGAATTTAATAGAGTTAATTTTAAGGAGATTACTTCAATAGTTTTAGGTAAAAAATGGTAACTGCTTGAACTAAGGCATTGGGTTTAGAGAGGAGGGTACAGTGTAGAAAAAGTTTTACAAAGTGGAATATATAAGATTTAGAGAGTGATTAGGTATGGAGAGGCAGAGGAAAGTTCTAATATGACTCCCAAGTTTCTGATTTTGGCAGCTACTGAGTGGGCCATGAACTAGGATCAAGACTATAGGAGGAAGAACACAGCAATGTCCAGTAGATAGCATGATAACGTGGGTTTGAAACTCAGCGGTGAGCTCTATGGAGAAAAATTTTAGTTTTCAGCACATTGGAGATCATGGAAGCTGTGGCCACATGTTAGATCACTGAGAGAGTGTGCATAGAGGGAGAGACAAGTAGGACATCCTAGGAGAGAGTTTGGGGGAAGGCCAACATCTAAAAGGTTAATGGGGAAGGAAGCAGGGTCCTTTTATGCTCTATAACTCTGAAAGCTGTCACCATTTGAGTTAACCGTAGTTTTCTTTTTCAGGAATGGTAGTGCTATTGGCCTTCCGGTCCCACCTATCACAGCCTTAATCACCCCAGGTCCTGTTCGTCATTGCCAAATTCCTGATTTGCCTGTGGATGGGAGCCTGCTCTTTGAATTTCTCTTTTTCATCTACCTACTGGTTGCTCTGTTCATCCAATATATCAATATCTATAAAACAGTGTGGTGGTATCCTTACAATCATCCTGCTTCTTGTACTTCACTGGTAAGTCTTAATAGGCCTTTATGTGACTTAACCAAGAAACTAGTAGAAAGCCTATGTGTACAAATTACTTGTCTTCATAATTTTTCTTTCAATAAAATGTTTTTCTGTTAAACCACAGATTACTTTAAAAACTAAGCTCATAACATTGTTAAAATATAGGGGCGCCTGGGTGGCGCAGTCGGTTAAGCGTCCGACTTCAGCCAGGTCACGATCTCGCGGTCCGTGAGTTCGAGCCCCGCGTCGGGCTCTGGGCTGATGGCTTGGAGCCTGGAGCCTGTTTCGGATTCTGTGTCTCCCTCGCTCTCTGCCCCTCCCCCGTTCATGCTCTGTCTCTCTCTGTCCCAAAAATAAATAAAAAATGTTGAAAAAAAATTTTTAAAAAAAAAAGATTGTTAAAATATAAATATCTGTCTTTGGTCCTTGACCAGACAAAGTAAAAATATAAATGAAATATAAATGAAAATACAAAAAACATTTAAATAATTTGTTACAATAATATCAAGAAAGAGTTTTGATACTTAGCTTTCTTTACACTGTCTTAAATTTGTTGGATATTTAAGGTGCCAATATGATTAAATTCTAGGAAATTTATCTTTTTAATGGCTATTTTAGGATAATGGCTGCTTCTATAACAGATAAACCTAAAATTGTATAATGCTTCAAACACGTAATATCTGAGGCAGTTGTTTTGGTTCACAGGATTAGCATGCTTCCATGTGGTCAGTCAGGGGACCCAGATGGAGACTCTTCTGTCTTCCAGTATGTGGCTTCCAAGGTGGCTGTGGTCCATCTCCGTCAGCCAGAAAGGGGAAAGAGCATAGGGAAGTATGAAGGAGAGTGTCTTGTGGGCCAGGCTCACATCATTGTCACATGCTTCCACTCCTAACTGTAAGGAGGCTAGAAATTATAATCCTTTCATAGGTTTTATTGTTATGATGAATAAAATTGGGCGCTGTTACAAAAATAAAATGGAGACAAAGACTATCTTTGCTGAAGTATGTCAGAATATATTGTAGGTTTCTTCTGTGATCTTTCCATTTCTTTAGGAGAGCTGGGACAATCTCAGTGCAGAGAAGGTTCTGCATAGATGGGTATATAAAGTAACAAGTAAGGGTGCTCAGGTTACTTGATAGGTAAGTGGTTGGCAGTGGCAGATTTGGGTGGGTAGTGGAGATACACTCTAGGAGAAAGAAGACTATTGTGCTGGGTAGTTTATGTATCTGGGACTTATCAAGATTAGAAAACTTCCTTGGCCTGGTAAACATAGGACTCAAATGTGGACCAAAATCTTCAAAATGATATGGGAAGGGAATAAACATTAAACAAAACAAAACAAAACTTGTATCATTTGGTTGTTCCTGGAATTAACTATTAAGAATTTTCTTTCCGGGGACTCTGGGTGGCTCAGTTGGTTAAGTGACTGACTCTTGGTTTCAGCTTAGGTCATAATCTCATGGTTTGTGAATTTGAGCCCTGCATGAGGCTCCACACTGAAGCCCTGCTTGGGATTCTCTCTCTCTCTCTGTCTCTCTCCCTCTCCCTCTTCCTCCCCCCCCCCCCATCTTTCTCTCTTTACTCCTTCCCCACTCATCCTCGCTGTCTCTCAAAATAAGTAAACTTTAAAAAAAAGAATTTTCGGGTCACCTGGGTAGCTCGGTTGGTTAACCATCCAACTTCGACTCAGGTCATTATCTCCCGGTTCATGGGTTTAAGCCCTATGTTGGGCTCTTCGCTGATAGCTCAGAGCCTGGATCCTGCTTTGGATTCTATGTCTCCTCTCTTGTCTCCTGTCTGTCTGTCTGTGTCTCTCTCTCTCTCTCTCTCTCTCTCAAAAAAATAAATATTAAAAAAAATTTCTTTGCATATTGATGATACACCTACTTAATACCAAGTAAGAGAATTTTGGTTTATTTAAGAATTGTAACGATTTGGCACAGCTCTCGTGAGCTCACTTGCTCTTACATATCAAGAGTGTACTTTGTGGTTTAATAAACTTTCCTGCTTGTGTTATTCCAAAAAACAAAACAAAACAAAAAAAAAACTTGTAATGATTCAGTGCCAAATTGTGTGTTTTTTTTTTAATAGCCTTTTCTCCTGGATTATGAATTTATTGAGTGTAGGAACTGTACTTTACCCTTCTTTGGCCATGTTGTTGTAAAATGAAGAGGTTGGATTAGATGATCTTTAAGGCTTCTTCCAGCTATGTAGCTCTTTAAGTAAATTCCTCACTATCTTAACGATGACATTGACAAACATTCATTGCTTACTATTCTTTGCAAGTATTATCTTATTTACTCCTTCTAAAAACAGGTACTACTTTCTGGTTCCCATTTTATAAATGAGAAATATGAGATCTAAAGATTGCAAAGCTGGCTCAAAATCACAGTAGTGACAGAGTGAGTGCTCACTCAATGCTATGCTTTACTTTTTGTATTTATTCTGTATTTACTCCATAAGTACTTGCTGGGTAGTTCATTATTCAGTTTTCACTTTGCCATTCCATGGAAACTTCTCAGTTGTTAAATTCGTAAGCTGATCAAAGAACTCTTCTCTCAGTCAAATGTTTCTGGCAAGAGTTCTTTTAAAAGTCCCCTACAAATGTTGCCTTGCAACAAAGGGAGCCAGTGCTCCTGTCATAATCAGGAAGCTACTACTATAGCTGCTGAGTCCAGAATTATGCTTCTTTTGCTCTGACTCATAACAACAAAAATGAGTGCCTTTTACCCTGCCCCATATCACTCAGTTCTGAATTCAGATTTTATGTAATGCTTATGGTTGGCAGAAACTAAGTCAAATCTAGAACTTCAGTTGTAAGAAAGTCTGGAAATGTAGTTTTTAGCTTTCTGGTCTGTGCAGTAGAGGAAAGCACACTTAAAACAGGTTATTCTGTGGATTGGCTCACTTATCTGCCATATATGGTCCTAGCTCACACAAAATTTAAAGTTCACTTGTGAAGCAAAGAATAACATCTGTGGAACAGCAAGTAAGATTTTAGCCCATCCATCTGAGAGGGGCCTGATTCAGTGAGCTGTTCAAAGATGAATGGGCTCCAGAGACCTAGTTACTTCCTGTGACTGAAGGTATTCAAACATAGCAGATGGCTATGTGACTGGGATGCTCTAGAAGGGACTTAGATCTCAACTAGTGGTCTTTTTTTATTATGTGTGTCTGACTCAGAAATTTGTCAGACTTATATATTAGGTTTTTCTTTTTCCATTTCAAAATCTTAATAATTATCTAAAAGAAAATGTAGACCCCCTGAATAAGTAAAGTATTGTTCTAGCTATCAAGACATTAGCTGAGTAAATTTTAACCCTAAGAAACATAAAAGCTAGAAGTAGCATAGTAAACTATTCAGAATAGTCAGGAGTGAAGGGTGATTAATCAGATATTCTGGTTTACAGAATTACCAGTTTTCGGTGGTTCAGAATATAACAAAATTTGCTTAACAATATGATACATTAGGCACTTAAATCTTTTGATACAAAAATGTCTTAGATGGACTGGTGATAGTCCATAAATAAGACCATAAATAAGACCCTCAAACATTAGGTAGGGGGTGTAGTAAATTTGTTTGCATTGTTTTGGAGGAGTGGGGTGAGCAAGAAGGAATCTCAAAGCTAAGAGGGTATAGGGGTACCTGGGTGGCTCAGTTGGTTAGATGTCCAACTCTGATTTTGGCTCAGGTTGTAATCTCAAGGTTCATGGGATCAAGCCCTGTGTCCGGCTCTGCGCTTACAGTGCAGAGCCTGCTTGGGATTCTCTCTCCCTCTCTCTCTGCCTGTGTGTGTGCTTTCTCTCTCAAAAATAAATAAATGTTAAAAAAAAAAAAAAAAAAAGCTAAGGGGCGCCTGGGTGGCCCAGTTGGCTGGACATCCAGCTTCGGCTCAGGTCATGATCATATGACTTGTAGGTTCGGGCCCTGTGTCGCGCTCTGTGCTGATGGCTCAGAGCCTGGATCCTGCTTCAGATTTTGAGTTTCCATCTCTCTCTGCCCCTCTCCCACTCACATTCTGTCTCTCTCTCTCAAACATTAAAAAATTTTTAAATATGGGGGACCTGGGTGGCTCAGTCGGTTGAGCGTCCGACTTCAGCTCGAGTCATGATCTCACAGTTCGTGAGTTCCAACTGTGAGTTCAAGCCCAGCATCAGGCTCTATGCTGACAGTGCAGAGCCTGGAGCCTGCATCAGATTCTGTGTCTCCCTGTCTCTCTCTGCCCCTTGCCTGCTCACACTCTGTCTCTCTGTCCCTCAAAAAAAACAAACATTAAAAAAATTTTTTTAAATAATATATGTAAACTCAATCTTTTGTTGCTCATTACCTCTTTCCAGCCCTCTTGCTGATTTTCAGACCCACCAGGCATATATATTCCTGTCTTAGGGCTTCTGTGATTGCTTTTCCCTCTTCCTGGTGCTCTCTGCCCTCAGCTCTTGTCATGGGTGATGCTTTTTTGTCATTCATCTCCCAATCCAAATGCCACAGTCTCAGAGATGTCCTCCCTAACCAACAATTTAAGTTGACTCTGCACCTCTCATCCCAGTTATTATTTATCACGGTCTTATTTCTTGGGAGCAGTTATAACTGTCTAAAATGCTTTTGCTTGTTAGCTTGTCATTGCCCTTACACTTAAACAAATTTATGAAAGATATGGCTTTAGCTGCTGTAACAGGGTGGCTAAAGCAGAATAGAACTTTATTTCCTTATGAAATAAGAATTAAGCAGGTGAGGGGCATCTGGGTGGTTCAGTCAGTAGAGCGTCAGCTCTTGGTTTTGGCTCAGGTTACAATCTCACAGTTTGTGGGATCAAGCCCCACATTGGGCTCTGCACTGACAGAGCAGAGCCTACTTGGGATTCTCTCTCTCTCTCTGCCCCTCCCCTGCTTGTGATCTCTCATGCTCTCTTTCTCAAAAAAAAAAAAAAAAAAAAAAAAAAAATTAAGTAGGTGATATGCCAGTGTGGCACCTCTTTGTTTCTATTGCTCTGCCAGCTCCAACATGCTTCTTCCAAATCATAGTCCAAGATAGCTACTCTGACTCCTGTCAGCACATATGGCCAGCAGGAAGGAGGAAAGGAGAAAGACAGCTCTTTCCTTTAAGGGCATGGCTTGGAAGTTATATATATCACTTCGTTCACATCCCTTGGCTATAAGTAGTTTTTGCAAGGGAGGCATGGAAATAAACCTGTAGTTAGCTAGGAGTCAGTGCCCACTTAAATTTGACTATGATGGCAGAAGAGACAACTAGTAATCTCTGCTATCCCCTTTGCCTCTCACAGCACAATAAAAAGTAAGATCCAGGAGAGCAGGAACCTTGTCTGTCATTCTTCAGCAGTGTATCGTCAGTATCAAGAAGAGTACTTGGAGCACATTGTGGGTGCCCAGAACATATTTACTGACTGAATTAAGAAATTCAGCTTTTGAAGAAGGACTGTGGAAAGCTATTGACCTTTTGACCATCAAGATGAAAATACATCCCAGTTTTGTTTGTTGCTAATGATTTTTCATTTTGCTTATTATTTATATAGGCTTAGAATTAGAAGGAACCATATGCAACATCTAGATAATGCTGTCATTTCTTAGGAAGAAGAGATCAAATAGAGGACACGTTGTTAAAATCAAGTTAAAGAGAAAGACCAAAGTGAATATAATTGATATATCAGCCAGGAGGCAGTTTAGGTTAGTAGATGCCCAATTAGATTAACATAAGCTTGCATAGAGAGACCAAAAATATTAACTCCTGAATGCTAAGAGTTCCGTCTCATCCATTACATTTGACACTTACTATAAATATGGCATTTTATTTATTTTTTTTTTTTTTATTTTTTTTATTAAATTTTTTTTTTTTTCAACGTTTATTTATTTTTGGGACAGAGAGAGACAGAGCATGAACGGGGGAGGGGCAGAGAGAGAGGGAGACACAGAATCGGAAACAGGCTCCAGGCTCTGAGCCATCAGCCCAGAGCCTGACGCGGGGCTCGAACTCAGGGACCGCGAGATCGTGACCTGGCTGAAGTCGGACGCCCAACCGACTGCACCACCCAGGCGCCCCTAAATATGGCATTTTAAATAAGTTATTCTTGCTATAATTCTGCAAGTTATCACTTTTTAACTCAAAGCTGTAGTCTTTTCCTTTCAACACCGTAAACTTTCAAAGAAAGGAGAGGAATACATTCCAGATAGTTTAAAATAGTGTTTGTAAAGTTAAAGCAGTTTTTCATGAAAGGAGAAATAGAAGGTAGGTAGTCTCTTCAAGAGCTTTTAAATTCTTGTGGTCTGTATATGTAAGGTGATGTAAGGAAGATCTTTTGAGGGGGCAAACATTTTGGTGTAATATTTGCAGCCAGATACACATATTTCTTTCTGATGCAGTGATTTGTTTCTCTTAACAGAATTTTCATCTCATTGATTACCACCTGGCAGCATTCATCACAGTGATGCTTGCAAGGAGGCTTGTATGGGCCCTCATCTCAGAGGTAACAGCTCTATAACACTGTATTTTATCACTTGGAGCTAGATTAGTTATTAAGATGGATTCAAGCTGAATATGTGACGTGTCCAAATATAATTGACTACAATTACAAATTAATTTCTTTACTTCCACATGAGTTGTGCTAGTTATTTTTAGAAGGTTTTCCTACAATATGTTTAAAATTCAGTGTCCTGTGTTCAAGAGAACGGTTATAAATCTCATTTGTTTGATAGGAGCTTATTTATAGTTTCCAGCTTCTTCAATATAACCTTTCTTATTTTAGTAGTTATAGTAAAAATAGGATGAATTTTAAATAACTATTGATACGAAGAGTTATATATAAATGAACAGTTAGCATCTAAAACTTTGTTTTAGGTAACATTTACTTGAAGTTATATACCATTTGTGGAGTTGCTAGCAAGAGATACTTGTTTGAGTTTATTAAAACTTGGAATTTTAAAATGACAACATCCCAATTTGCATAAGACTAATATTAAAGATTAGAATCTTAATGGACAATAGAAGAAAGACTTGGGACGTTAATGTCTTTTTTAAATTACATGTTGTTGATATAAATGGCCATTGGTAATTATTCTTTAATATATTTGTAAACTCCAGTGAAGGAGGTAAAATGTGTTCTCTTAAGATTTTGTTATCTTATGCCCTATAAATGATTATGAAAACAAAAACAAAAAATCTTAGCTGAAGTGACTAAGAATTTTAATTTTGGAGTTTATAATTTAATGTATAGTTTTAAGTAAATAGTTACTATAATTACAGATAACTGAGAGTCAACTTTTTCCTTCCAAAACATGCATGTTTTGTCTTTGTGTCTATAAGCTCTAATTTTCAGGAACCTTATTTCTTGTGAGCACAGAGTAAGTGCAGATGTTAAGTCATAACCTGAAAGGCATTTGAAATTAACCGAAAGTAGGATTCCCTGTTTTTTCACAGCGGGAAAGCCTGTCTAAAACCTTTTCTCCCAGGTTCATTATTTAGATTATGAAAATAGATGCTTGCCTTTGGATATATTAAAATCTGTTCTTTCTTTAGAGGAACTCAGTGGAGTTTTATGCTTTTATCTGTGAAAACTGGCAGGATTTTGTTTCATCTCTTCAATTACTTAGAAATGGTACTTGTTTATGCCAAATTAGTATGTCCAGCTAATGTGTAAATTCCTTCATGACTGAGGTTTCTACCTTGGAGCTCCAAGGGCTATAACTTGACCTACTCTGTTGTTTCTTTTGCTAATGGCTTAACAGTAGCTTAACAATTTTTGCATGATCTTAGTTGGAAAGTATTTAGCTGTTTTCTAAAGAAACCTGCAATTCTTACAGAGATCAAAATACTTAAATTTAAAAAGATTTCTGGTCAAAGACTTAAATCTGTAAGTTAAAGTCCATGAGAAAGAATTAAAGAATGTTTAAATAGTTGTGGGATATGTACATAATGGAATAGCACACAGCCATTAAAAAGATGAAAATGTACTGACCACTAAGATATTAAGTGAAAAAAACAAAGTACAGAACAGTGTTTAAAATAAGGCAGGTGGAAGGAACAAAATACACCTGCTTATATATGAATAAATTATCTGTAGAAGGACATACAAACTAATAATGGACTGCCTAGTTACGTCTGGGAACAAGACCATTAGGAGGGAAATTTCACTATAAACACTATTACACATTTTGTATTTTGAGCACTGACTATATTACCTATTCAGAAATTAAAAATAAGAGCTGTATAGTGATTCTTTTCCTTAAAAAAAGCTAAATTAGATAAGAACCATCATCATCTCTCCTTCCTTCCATTAAAATGTTTACATTCTTTTTTCTTTTCTTTTTTTTTGCTTAAATCAGAAAGTATCCCTACCTTGAGAAAGACCATTTTTAAGGAGAGGCTGGAGGTAATTAATTCAGAAAGCTAAATACTATTCTCGGAGGAATACCTCCCAACTAGATAAGACTGTTCATTCACCTCCAGGCCAATTCTACTTCTCTATTTGCTCCACAAGACCAAAAGTTATTCAGCTATTCTTCTACCAACCTGAGGCAACTCCCTTTTTAAAAAATTATTTTTCTAAATAGGAAAGTAGCATATTTTACTGAAAAAAATTGGAAAACACTAAAATATAAAGCAGGAAAAAATGGTAACTTACAACCTCATTATTGAAAAGACCATATTTTCGTATATTTCCTAATCTTTATTTGTATATATACTGTACTTCTCAATTAACATAATATTAGGAATATTTTTCTACTCTTTACCTGGCTTGTTTTTGCTTATTCTTTAGATCTCAGCTGAAATATCACTTCCTCAGAAAGCTTTCCCAATGATTAGGGGTCTCTTGTTATTTGCTCTCCTTAACAGCCTACTCTTTTCCTGTAGCACTTATACCACAATTATAAAAATAATTATTTTGTGTAAATATTAATTGTTTTTTTTATTTTGGCAGCCTCATAAAGACAGAAGTCTTATTTGTCTTGGTTATTACTGTGTCCCTAGGGCCTGATACAGTATCTGTCATACATAACATAGTGGTTAAGAGCTTGGACTTTGGAATAAGGCAAAAATGATAAATACATCCAAGCTCTGCTACTCTGGTGACATTGCTCAGAAACAGCCTTTAAATTTTGAAAATGGAGGCAATGGCATAATTCCAGCAGCTTTGATACGTGAGGTACATTGGCATGAGGTATATATCAGGGTAGTAATACACAATTATTTGCCCTGCTGTGACTGAGAACAGTTTGAACCTTCTCCATAGTTTGAGGCTTAGGGTATTAATTACCTGCTTCTTTGCATTTATAAGTAACTATATAAATACTATATATTGCATGTATATTATATATGCTATGTAGTATGTTGGGTAAACTAAGAAACGGATATATGAAGGACCTGAAAGTCTCTTTATTCCCTCCCATTGCTATTGACCCCACATAATTTTTTTCTTCTTTCTGTATTCTGACACTGCTGTTTTGAGGTGGTAGGAATCTACCATTTTCCCCTGCATTTTGCTCATTCTCTTCTTACTAGTTCATTGTAAAAGAAAATAACATTGTAAAACTTCATGTTTAGATAAGTATGCTTCTTACTGTATTTAATCAGTTTTTAAAATGTGAGATTAAGAACAAATATTTGAATAGCTGTGATATAAAGAAGTGGAAGTGATTGTACATTATTTCCATGTTTGCAAAAGTCAAAAAAGAAAGTTTTATTTACATAGGGATTTGTCAGAGAAGGTCTGATTATTTTCTGAATCTTCAGTAATTTATTACACATTAATTCATTAAATAGATTGGGGGGAAGATTGCAAGAAAAATGGAAGTGTTGTTACTCCTGTTGAGGTCATCGCAGTTTAATCTGAAGTCAGATAAATTAATGGTTCAATATCTTTATGTACATAAAAATCACCTGGTAGATTATTAAAATACAGGTTCCTTCACTTACAGCTTTGTTCTCTATCTGTAAGGAAAGGCAGTAGGAATTTGCAAGTTCAGTAAGTAGCCCAAGTAACTCTGATGAATGTGGCTCTCATACTTTGAGAAGCCCTAATGTAAACAAATTAGACAATGTCATAAGAACTTAAAGAACCAAGAAATTTCCTGGAGAGGTCTGAATCTTTAAAAATGAGGAAGGTAAGTGGGATGAGACAGTTTTTCTCCCGCCACCACCCCCCCTTTTTTTGGTCACAGATTTCCACTAAATCTACTAATTTCCTTACTTGAGTCATATTGCTTTTGAATAAGGCCGTTTATAAAATGTTCCTTTTGGTGGTTCCAAACTTCCAGGCCACTAAGGCGGGTGCGGCATCTATGATTCACTACATGGTTCTGATATCAGCTCGTTTGGTGCTACTTACTTTATGTGGATGGGTACTTTGTTGGACCCTCGTCAATCTCTTCCGAAGCCATTCAGTGCTCAATCTCCTTTTCCTTGGCTACCCGTGAGTACTCCAGTTTTACCATTGTATTAGTAAGTTTTTAAAGAAATAATTTGGATCAAGCAAACAGTAGTATAAAAGTGAGGAAAAGGAAATTCTTCAAATATAAACCAAAAGTTTAGAAAATTGGAAAGATGAGTGGATAGGGTGACAATCTAATTTATTTTCTACACTAGGACACAATTGGAACAATAGGCTTAAACCAGGACTGTCCCAAGAGACTTGAGAGGTATGCTATTCTACCAGTGGAGAATATTTTAATTGGCTCTCTTCACCAAATAAAGGGACCTGGTACAGCCTGTATTGACACAAATGATGGGTAGTGTTAGTTGAATGGACTGGCTCAACCGGTCTTACTCTTTTGGTCAAAGTACTTTGATATTTGGCTTCATGTAACAAATATGCTATACTCATGCCCTATAGACTTACCTTTTTTGACCAGCATTTTATTATGGAAACTTAAATTTTTTTTTAATGTTTGTTTATTTTTGAGAGAGAGACAGAGCATGAGCTGGGGAGGGGCAGAGAGAGAGGGAGACACAGAATCCAAAGTAGGCTCCAGGCTCTGAGCTGTCAGCACAGAGCCAGATGTGGGGCTCAAACTCACGAACTGCGAGATCATGACCTGAGCTGAAGTCGGACACTTAACTGACTGAACCACCCAGGTGCCCCGTGGAAATTTTAAACACGTGAGATTGAAAGAATTTTTCAGCAAACACCTGTGCAACTGCATCTAAATTTCACCCATTAATGTTTTACTATCATTGCGTAACACATAACTGTCCAACCATTCCTCTGTCCATCTATCAGTCCACCTTATTTTTGATGCATTTCAAAGTTAAGTTGCAGACCTCAGTTCACTTCTTCCAAAATATGTCAGTCTATGCATATCAGTCACTAGAGTTTGATATTTGTTTACAGTTTTTCTTTTGAGGTAAAATTAATACATAAAATTCACAAATCTTGTGTACATTTGCTGAGTTTTGATAAATGCATACACTTACAAGTCAAATCTGTGTCCCAATATAGTACATGACCATTATTCTAGAGGTTCCTTCATGCCTCTTTCCAAACACCACCAACCACTTCCCAGAGGTAATCACTGTTTTAATTTTTTTTCCACCATAGATTAGTTTGCCTGTTCTAGAATTTCGTATAAATGGAATTATACTGGATATACACTTTTGTGTAAAGCTTCTCTCAGCATATTGTTTTTGAGATTTATCCATGTGGTTACATATATCAGTAACACTTCATTGTATGAATATACTACAGTTTGTTTATTCTCCTACTATTGAATATTTGGATTGTTTCCAGTTTGGGGATATTACTAAGAATAAAACTGTTAGGTACATTCTTACACAAGCCTTTTTTGTGAAGAAATGTTTTCATTCTCTTGAGAGAAATATCTAAGAGAGGCCTTGCTAGGCCATAAGGTAGGAGTATGTTTAGTTTTATAAGAATCTACCAGACCTCTTCGCAAAGATGTTGTATCCTTTTACCCCCCACCAATTCTATAAGAATTCTAGTTGCGCCACACGTTTGTCAGCATTTGATGTTTTCTGTTTTTTATTTTTAAAGTTTATTTCTTTATTTTGAGTGAGAGAGAGAGAGCATTCATGTGTGCGTGAGCAGGGGAAGGGCAGAGAGGAAGAGAGAGAATCCCAAGCAGGCTTCATGCTGTCAGCATGGAGCTAGATGCAGGGCTTGATCCCAGTAACCGTGAGATCATGACCTGAGTCAAAGGCAAGAGTTGTACACCCGACCAACTAAGCCACCCAGGCATCCCTGGTGTTTTTAAAATTTTAGCCATTCTGATCAATGTATAGTTGCAACTTATTGTACATGTTGGCTTTTTAAACTGTTTTGCATAGTTTAACTTTTATGCCTTGGGCCAATACTTTCATTGGATGTTAATGGATAGCTGTCATTCTTTGAGCTGTTCTGTGCTAAGTGCTAGGCTAGGTGTTTATAAACATCACCTCATGAAATCATACCATAATTCAGGAGGCAGTGTATTTAGTCCGCCATAACGGATGCAAAGTATTCGGGGCTTTAAAAAGTTAGAAGTTTATTTCTGTACAGTATGTGTGTAAATCATATTGGATAGCTGTGGCAGCTAGCTCCATGGTGTTGGGACCTAAGCTCCTGCTATCTTTTTTACTCCACACTCCCTAGCAGGATAGATTGTAAAGAACTTTGGAAATTTGCAGCTGTATCTGATCTAAAAATTCTATTGCAGTGGAAGAACAGGAGCACAGTGGCTGTTGGCAGACAGCAGGGTTTGCCACAGGTAAAGACAGATTGAGTCTAAAATAAACTTACCCGTGGTCAGACAGTTAGTGAGAAAGACTCTGGCCTTTTTGATTTCAGAGCCCTTGTCTGCACCATTACTCTGTAATCAGTAGTTCTCAAAGTGTGGTTTCCAGAATTAGCATCAGCTGGAAAGTTTTTAGAAATAGAAATTCTCAAAATCTGCCCCAAATCTACTGAAACAGAAACTTCGGAAAGTAGGACCCAGCAATTTGTCTTTTAACAAGCCCTCCAGATGATTCTGATGCTTGCTCAAGTTTGAGAATCATTGTTTTATATAACCATTTATGGTACTGAAGTGTAAGCATGAATTTAACAGTTACATAGCATAAAATCAAGATATAATCAAAGATTGTATGAACAGGGATGATAGGAAGTCTATTGGTATACTATGGTAGGCCTGATTATACTGTTTAATTAAGGCAGTCATCAACTCAGTTTATTAGTATTAACCTTTTTGCCTGTAAAATGAATTTTCTATGTTACAAACATTTTGCATGATTCATATTTCTTATAAGGTATAATATTTTACATCAATTGTTTCTTTATTTCTAGATTAATATTTCAGTTGCTTCAACTGAAATGATTTCGTTATTCTATTTATCAACAACAGCTGGTTGAATCCATTAGAAGGTTTTTTGGTTTTTTTAATTTTTTTTTTTAAAGTTTATTTTTGAGACAGAGCATGAGCAGGGGAGGGACAGAGAGAGAGAAGGAGATACAGAATCTGAAGTAGGCTGCAGGCTCTGAGCTGTCAGCACAGAGCCTGACACGGGGCTCAGACCCAAAAACCAGGAGATCATGACCTGAGCCAAAGTCGGATGGCCAACCGACTGAGCCACTCAGGTGCCCCATTGTTTTTTTTTTTTTTT